GTCTTCAAGCAGTGAAGATAGATCTACGTCGCGCAGCGCACCCTCTCGCAGAAGGAAAGAGCGCCGCCGCGGACGACAAGACAAAGACAGAGATGATAAAGGTTCCCGTGCCGCCGCCGCCAGAGACACGCTCGACGCCATGGGGGAAGCAGGCTTCGGTTCGCAACTCGCTCGAGCTTCAGGGAGAGCATCGGCGCCGTCTTCGCGTCCTGGTCGATCGTCAGCGCGCTCGTCTGCTCCGCCAACGTTTGCGATGGATGCCGACGACCTTCTACACCACGGTGATGCTCCTCGCCACGCAGCGGCTGCCCTCGAGCAACCACGCTCTGGACAACGAGACGAACCGCCCACCCCCCTACCTGCTGCCGAGGCAGCACTTGCAGCAGGAGGGCCATCGCGTGCAGACCCACTGGCAGGAGCTCGCGACCCTTGGCGGGGACAGCACGCAGCTGGAGGAGCGCCCGCCGTCGGTGCAGCCGCCGACCTTCATGGTGGAGCCATGCCTGCTGCCATCGCCGCTGCTGGGGGAATAGCCACGCCTGTATCGTCGCCAAGCATCCCAGGTCTGGCCCCTGAAGTCGAAGCCGCTCTTCAACAAGTCATGCAGTCTCAAGTCGAACTCGCCGCCTCCACCTTCCAAGCCCAGGCCAACGCTCTACTTGATGAATCACGTGAAAGCTTTCGTCAAATTCTCGCACAGCAAGTCATTGCTACAGAACGCCGAGTGGACACCTTTCATGACGCAGTCGCCCGCACACGCCGTGAACAAGACCGCCAAGCCGATGAACAGAAGAAGATGTGGCAGCAGATCGACCAGATGCGCGACACACTCGCGCTCGCTGAAGCTCAGGCGCCCATTGCGGACCTCACCGAGCTCGCCGACTGGGACCGCGCCCCCGACCCGACCATCTTCTCCATTGGCTGCCAGCGCCTCATCGCGCCCGACGTGCTGCTCAACGACCTGCAGGAGTGGATCGCCTCTGCCAACGTGGACCGTAACGCCGTGGAGCTGTTGGGCGACGAGCCGTCCAGACGCTTCTTTCTTCAAGTCAAAGGTGATCGGGCAGCCGCAATCCCGCGAGCCCTCGCTCTATCACGCGCCCTTCGAGATCCTGCTGGCAGGTGGAAACGATTCGAGTCCACCGACGCGACAGGTGCCCGAGTGGATATCTACCTCAACCCCGACAAGTCTCCCAAGCAGATTCGCACCGAGCTCCAGCGCAAGAAGCTGCTGCAACTGCTCCAGCACCGCTGCCCCGACAAGGCGTGGAGGGCCATCCGCGCAAAGGGCGAGCTCCACTGCAGCGCCATGCCCGTTGTCCGCCTCGACGTCAAGGGCCAGGCCGACCCCGCCATCCTCGAATGGAACGAGCACGCGTTCGAAGGCCACTACTTCAATGATGTGGACCGCGGTGGCGCCCTCACCGCGTTCCGGGCGCTCTTCGCGGACACTGCGTCAGCCACGTGGCGGGTTTAGCCACCCCTGGTCGCCGTGGCGACCGACCGAGGACCCCGTCCCCAACACTTTCATCACGTGGAACGCCAGAGCCCTTATGTGCCACAAGCGCAAGCGCCGCCGCCGCAAGCATGCTGCCTTGTCCAAGTACATGCGTCGCCATTGCGTCATCCTCTTCCAGGAGGTCCACGGTTCGGAGGCCCTGCTCCGCACGTGGGTGGACGCGCAGCCGTGCCCGCACAAGCTTTTCTTCTCCGAGTTCGTCGGCAGCGATGACAACGAGGCCCGCCCTGGCACTGGCGGGGTTGCTACGTGAGTGCCCTGGCTCACGCCCATGCAGCTCGAGCAGCTCGCTCCACGCCAACTACCGACCTTCGACCATGAGGAGGTCGTCAAGGGCCGCATCCTGGCCGTCACCGTCGCCAATGCTGTCGCGAACATCTCCATCGTCATCATGAGCGTCCATAACCATGAGGTCGACGCCCGTGGCCGCGACCGAGTACAACGTGCTCGGCATCAACATCGCTCTTGGGCCGAGGCCGACTACCAGCACCGCACCTTCATCGCCATGGGGGATCTCAATACCGCCAGCCGCCCGCCGAACAGCTTCCTGCAGCCTCAGCCTCAGCACGCACGCCTTGCGCTGGACAACAGTGCCCGCCAGCAGGAGCCATTCTGGAAAGCGCTCTTCGACACCACGCTCGAAATCGAATCCGACCTGCCGACCCGCTTCAACAAGTCTGACTTCACTGCCACAGCGATCGACCGCGTTTTCATCAGCTTGCCGTCCCATGCCATGCTCGAGCTCACTTCGCAGATCAGCATCGAGCACGACCCTGCCATCCTGTCCGACTCCTTCCTCAGTGACCATGCGATCATCTCCTACACCATCGGCATCAAGCCGCGCACGCCGTCGGCCGCTCCCGCGATCTTCCGCGACCCGAACTACGCCAAGTACCTGGACCAGCTGATCACCCACACCAAGACAGAGCACATCCCCATCCAGAACCGCTGGCGCACGCACAAGCGCCTCATGGTCGAGGCTGCGAGGCTCGTCGGCGACGATTGGGTCAGCTCCGCTGGGGGCGGCAACAAATCCAATCACGCCGACGGCCGGGTGCTCACAGCGCGCTCGATCTCACGCGCGGTCTGGCGCCAAGACGTTGCTCTCGCTCGTCGTCTTCAGTCTACCACCGAGCTCTGCGCCAAGTACCTCTCGATTACCGACGGCCTCATCACGATCATTGACCAGCCCGAGTTCGCTGCCAAGACAGCCGAGCTGCACCGCGACTTCGAGGCTCGGCAACGCTCTCTGGCACAAAGAGCTGCCCAGCGCCCCCCTGGCGCGGAAGGGGCCCTCGAGCCCGAGAAACTCAGTCGAATCCTGCGCGCCTCGCAGAGACGAGCTCTCCTTTGGGCCCCATGGACGCGGCGTCTGGTCCTCCAGGGAATCAAAATCTCGGGCCCCGCAGGCCCCCCTGGGATCGCCAGAGAGAGCTGCGATATGGCTGACGCTCTTCGCACCTACTGGAAGCCCGTCTTCGCGCACAAGCACGTCGACTCCGACAAGGTCACGCAGTGCATCTCCGATCACATGCCGCTGGGTGCCGCCATCGACGTGGTCGCGCCGACCAAGAGCCAGATCCGTTCCTTCCTGGCTCGCACCTCGCCGTCGCCTCCAGGACCTGACTGCCTGCCGTATCGCGCATGGCTAGCACATGACTCGTCGCTGGACCTGCTCGAGGACCTCTCGTTCCACCTCTGCTCGAACGCGCACTTCATTCACGACCTGAACGACTCTGACTTCGCATTCCTGCCGAAAGGGGACAACCTCGTCGGCGAGCTGCAGACCGACAGGGCGCCTGAGGACACGCGCCCGCTCTCGCTGAAGAACACTGATATCAAGGCCATCGCAGGAGCCGCCAACTTCCTCCTCAAATCCGCTGTGGCAGAGCGGACCCACAACGCCCGACTGGAGCCGGCCTACGAAGTAGGCGCACTGCATTGCGTGCCCGAAAAAAAGTATTCGGCTGGCGGCCGAAGTTTGCGAGAGTGGCGGCCTGGCCTGATAGACTGGCGGCCTGATCCAGCATCACCCTCGTACTCCTCTTCCTCCTCTCTT